GGATCCGAACCTGGGCCGCGAGTAGCGGAGTGCGCGCACTTAACCACTAAGCCATGGGGCCAGCCCCCTGTGCTACATTTTAATGCATTTGACTTCATTCTGTTCCTATGTTTTTAATAACATGGATGTTAGGAGACTTTAAGTGGGCCAAAGTTTACAGATTTTGCTATTGCTAACTTAGTTTCATTCCAGACAACATTCGGTTCTCCATGCATGCAGACTTGGTGATAACATGCCATATACCCTATTCTTCCTTTCTGCTCACACTGAATCTCACAGTAGAACATTGGGCACCATTAATATTGACAGAGGAGAGGGAAGAGACACCCCCTCCCCTATGATTCTGGCACCACATTCAGAACTGGAAACTGGGAGGCGGGCATTCCTACAAGTACAGCAGAAAACCCTTTTCTGTTTTGAGCCTTGAGATAAAATCTTCAGAAACTGTATTTATTCCTTCTAATAAATGCTTTCTGCTTTAGAAAGTACAGCACAGTAAATGTAAGTAACTCTTTCCACAACTATTAAGCACCTTGCAGTGCTTCTGGAGGTGTGATTGAGAGTAATTTACTTTATCATTTTTAAGTCACATTGTTATGATATAAGGTTCATGTGTGTAACTTGGGTTGTTTTTATGAGTGAAATGAGATAAAGTGCTATGCCCAGTGCCTACCATGTTACAAGCATCTTACAAATGGTAGTTCTTTTCCTTCCTTGCTCCATTAAGGTATAGCATTCTGAATGTGCCCATCACTGATGACCAGTGTGGACATCCAAAGACAAATTTGAATGGTGTTTGGCCCCAAGGCATCATGGGAAGTTGTGTGGCGGGGGGCGGGGGATAGGTCTTAACTCATTCTCTGTAAGAGCTTATGTTGTCTGTTTTGTTTTGCATCCTCATTCTGCAAATCAAAGGAAAAAATCAAAGCTTCCTCAATATATTGTATACAACTTAATCAAGATTTTGTGTCCTGGCTTTAACTAGACTTATTTTTACATCCCCAAAGTTTCAGGAGCCAATTTTCTTAAGAGGCATTGTATGATTAATAAAATAACACAATATTATTTTTAATCTCCTGCCCCTGTTTGCTCTATATTACTGATATGCTATGTAGGCCTCTCAATGTTCCTTTCAGTAATCTTCGAGCATGCTCAATATGCCCCTAGCCTCTGGGAATGTGTTCAGAAAATTCTGGTTTTCAGGCTGAGGGAAAACACAAATTATTTCCCCTTTAAGCAGATTTTATACTAATGCTAAGAAGTTTGTGTGTGTGTGTGTGTATAGGTATAAATATATACACGTATGTGATTTTGAAAACTTTTCTGCTCATTGCAGTCAACTTGAAAAACATAGAAAATCATATAGAAAAATGAAAATTCTCCAATAATTGTATGACCTTGAAACAACCACTCCTAACATGTTAGTGTGTACTTTCCAGTAAAATGTCTGCATTTGGTTTTCTGTTTTTGATCATGCATTAGCCCCATTCATTCCTTCATTCATGTATGTAACAAAGTAGTTATAATTAGAGTTGCCAGATAAAATACAGGATGCACAGTTAGATTTGAATTTCAAATAATAATTTTTAGTATATGTCCCAAGTATCACACAGGACACATTTTAACTGAAAATTATTCGTTATGCAAATTTAAGTGGGTATCTTGTAATTTTATTTGCTAAATGTAACAACCTTAATTGTAACAGAGATCCATACAGTGGGGATGTACTGGTGAGCAGGAATGGGCAGAGCCTCTGATTTGCCTGACATTTCCATTAACCATGAGAGGCTGACATTAATCAAATGGCACATGAATATATAAACTGTGAGAAGTGCATGAAGGGACTAGGTACAAAGAAGGGTGTGTGTGCCTGTATATGTGTGTGTGTGTGCGCGTTGAGGGTTTTCAGGGAAGTATGTTCACTAGTCTGGGGGCAGCAGTGTTGAGTGTGAAAGAAGATTCTGAATTAAAATTCAACCTTCCCAGCCTCCGCAGACCTGGCCCCACTCAGGAACACAGCCATCAGATGTAGGCCAAGTTATATAGTGAAGGCTGCCTGACAGGGATGGCATCCAGGAAAAGCAAATAAAATCTTCCTGTGAGTCCCTCCCTGAGGGCCGCTGACAAAGCCCTGGCAGCCCACAGCCTGCAAACAATTGGGCCCCAGTCCTGCCCAGCACAGCGGTTCCCCAGGCGGCTTTTGTTAATTGAGATTCAGCCTGCAGCTGTACACAGCTCCTCAGGGCTCTGCTCTCTCCTCACCCGTGTCCCTTGTTCCTGTGAACAAAAAGAGTCTGCGCGTGGTTTCAGGAAATTCGGAGACAAGATCATCTGTGTTAAGCGGTAAGGACCACCTACCATGAGTGTGAAAAGGGGGTCCTGTCAGATGGCTGAACACAGCTGAATATCATGGGTTCCTGGAAGCCACCTCCACCATGTGTGACTCAGAGGGCCAGTGTTTCTTCATGGAACCATCGACTGTGAGAACTCAGGGCAGCCTTCAGAGCCACAGCATCAATAATAATAGCTTCCCTGTCAATGGAGTTCTATTACTTTGGGTTTTACATATATTATCTCATTTATTCATCCTAACAACCTAGGTTGATAGGGATTATTATTCCCATTTTATACCTGAAGAAATTTAGGCTCAGAGAGGTTAAGTCATTTTCCCAGAGTCTCACAGCCAGGAACTGGCAGAGCCAGGACTCAAACCCAGGAATCCGGACTTCAAAGCCCCTGCTTTTCCTGCTACACTATACCATCCCGTAAGGACATCTTATGAGACTCCCTTATAAAATATGGATGGAAACGGAATTTATTTTTTTTGTCTTTCACACCCCACAAGAATACAAACTCCATGAGGCAGGTACGTTTGTATGTTTTGTTCACTGCCTCATTCCCCAGCTCCTCCAATAACGTAGCACACAGTAAGTGCTCAATAAATATGTGATGAATGAATGAATAAAGTGAGTTAGTGGTGGGACCAGGTTTCTGGCTCCTGATTTGTTGCTTTTTTCCC